ACTACTACTACGACTACTACTACGACTACTACTACTACTACTACTACTACTACTACTACTACTACTACTACTACTACTACGACTACGACTACGACTACGACTACTACGACTACTACGACTACTGCGGATGCGTGGGGAAAGCGTATCTTAGGGCTTTGTTTCTCCAACGCAGCTCGAACAAAAGGGCCTGCGGGAATGCTACGAGTTTATGGCGTCCGAATCACTCAAGATCCCGAGCAAAAACTGCCCCCAAGAGGACCCCGAGAACGCCCCGAAGGAACCCCAAGCAGCATCCCTGAAAACTCTGACCCTCAACCCTTGCACGGTGGCGGGATGGGCCGAAGGCCATTAGGTCCGCCGCCCCCTGCTTGCAGGGGTGCACGGCGTGCTGGACGTTTCAGGTTTTGGTTTTGGTTCTTTTTCCAAAAGAACTTCCCAGTGGGCTCCGGCAGAACCCGCCGGCCACCCGGAATTTCCCCAAACGTGCTCAACGACCGCAAAAAATCCTCCAAGAACGGCCGTTTCGCTCGGGACATCCTCAAAAAATCGCGAAGATGGCCCAAGATGGCCTCCAAGTCCGCCCGAGATGGTCCAAGACGGCCTCCAAAACGGCCCAAGAGAGTCCAAGACGGCCCAAGACGGCCCAAGAGGCCCCCCAGAGGCCTCCCAGACGGCCCAAGAGGCCTCCAAGAGGTCCTCCAGGAGAGTCCGAAGAGGCCAAAATCATTGATTTTCCTTGGTTTTTGAAGGATTTTGGCATTTGCGCCTTTTCGGCTCTCCGACGGCTCAAGACGGCCCAAGAAGCCCCCAAGATCGCCCAAGAGGCCCCCAAGAGAGCCCCATGATGGCCCAAGTGGCCTCCAAGATGGCCCCTAGAGGGCCCCAAGAGGGCCCAAGAGGCCTCCAACACGCCCAAGATGGCCTCCCAGACGCCCAAGATGGCCTCCAAGACGGCCCTGGAGCATTCCAAGCGGGCCCCAAGTCGGCCCATAGAGGCCCCCCAAACGGCTTCCGACGGCTTCAGACGTGCCAGGAACCCACCAAGATGGCCGAAGTTGGCTCGAAGCTGGCCCGAGACGGCCCAAAAAGCCCCAAAGATCGCCCAAAGCTTGCCCAAGAGGCCTCCAAGACGGCCAAGATGACCTTCAAGATGCCCACGTGTTCCCCGAAGGCTTTCCAAACCGATTCGGGGAACACGAGGTCCGATAGCTTGGCAGGTCTAGCCTCAACGTTCGGCCACATAGGCGCTTCCAAAAAGGCAGGGGGCGGCGGTGATTCGCCGTAGGCGTCTTCGATAAGCATGGTTCGAATACATGTCGAATGTTTGCCAATCTCCCACCCAAAACGCACCCTTTGAATCGAATTCGAATAGACCCGCGTCTCTGTTCAAAGGCCCACTGCTGTGCAATGGATTGCTCTGGCACTCGTATGTCCTGCGTGACCGAGGCGAGCCAACTTGCACGCGCCCGACTGGTGCACGGAAAGACTTGGAGCACTAATAAACGCGCAAACGCAGAAATTCTGATTGCGAGTACCTCATCCCCAGTTGAGCGCGTCGGGATGCTTATTGCGGTATTTGACGGGAGACTCTTTGATATTGACTTCTGCCCGTACCTCGACGATGCTCTGATCTCGCCCAGGCACCCGCAAACCAGCTTCAGACCATATCGGTCGAGCACGGAATGTTTCTCGTGGTCGGTGGGCACGAAATATCCAGCGAGGATGTCTCGATGTCCTCAAGAACGCAGATGGTTCAACCTGCATCGTCCTTCCGCTGCTCGCACCTGCTAATCTGTTGTCACCACATCTCGAGCGCAGCGCTTATCTCCTCCACCTCGCACGTTGGTGGGGAGATGATGCTGCGCAAGGTCGCGCGCTGGCGCGACCCACTCGCAACACCCCACGAGCGGCGTGGCTTCTGCAGGGCTTGGAGACCGTTGCCGCCCAAGACTCGATTCACGATGTCGTTCGACTCGCTCCCGTCCAGGGTGGTGGATGTGGTTCGCCTCGCTGTCGACACCCTCCGCATCCGGACTCTCGTCTCCCGCCCACTGGATTGCCACGGCCTCCTCTGGCTCGACCGCGAACCGCAGTAACATCCCGAGGCTCTCTCCAGTACTGCGACCGCGTAGCTCGAGAACTTGCGAGCGCGCGCTGCAAACTCCCCCGGCTCTCATCTGCCGAGATCTCGGGCTGATCAAGCCCCTTCGTGTACACCAGTAATGATCGCCAGTATCCTCCTAATGCAACTCTTGTCGCTATCTGTCAAGGGGCCCTGGGACACACAAATAAACACACACACAAATAGCAGGATTCCCCACATTTTCCTATATGTTCTGGGATTTTGCCTTCCCCCCCACTGCCCATATTTTCCCACAATTCCTGGGGATCGACGATGAATTGTGTCTGTGTGTTTCTTCCCCTCCTGAATCTGGGCTTCCGTCTTCTCGGTGGCGCCTGGCAGAGCGGCCCGTGGGCATCTAACCTGCCCTTCGACCCTCGCCTGTCGCACCTCGCTGCGGCTCCTCTCCATCGTGCGCAGCTCCTTGGCGAATGCTTGCCGCGGCTCCCGAAGCCGTTGGACCAGTGCGTGCCTATTGGACCTCCCCGTCCGTCTTTGCTGGCGCGCATTGCTGCACAACTGTGGTGCAGTGCTGCCGGTCGTATCCTCTGCCGCTGGTGTCCCTGATGCATCATTCCAGGTCTGCTCGAAGCTATTGCCGGCTGACTTGGCAGCTCACCGCCCTGCGAATCACTGTCGAGCTCCACCTTGAATCCCTCGGCCGTCCTCCTCAGGCCGTTCCAGGTCGTAGCGTCGCGCTTCACCCGTCGGTGGCCCGTGCCCGCGCCAAGCGCGCCTGGCACGACCAAGGGCGCGCGGAGATGAGGCACGCGCCCCCGGCCAAGTCCAGCGCGGCGCCTCGCTGCGGCCCGGCGACGACGACGACGACGACGACGACGACGACGACGACCGCCTACGACCGACGACCGACGACCGCGAAAACAACGGCGCCAGAGAATACGACGACGACGACGACGACGACGACGACGACGACGGCGACGACGACGACGACGACGATGACGACGACGACGACGACGACGACGACGACGACGACGACGACGACGGATCCTGCTGGCGGCACGCTGCTCCTCTGCCGGCGGTGGCCGGCCTGCAGGGAGAAGCCGAGCTTTGGTCCCCCAGCGGCTCGCCTGCCGCCAGGGGTCTGACTACCTACCAGACCACCCCAACCCAACCCGAAGACCCGAATTTCGGGTTGGGGGGGTAAGGGTTCCACATGTGTTTTTTCGATGTTCCCCGACCCCCCCCCACTGGAAATCGAGGGTAAATCTGAGCCTTCGGGTTGGGTTGGGGTGGTTTGGTGGGTGGTGGGGGTCTCCTCCGGGCGTCGACCGCGGGCGAAGCGCCTGCTCGCGATAGCACGATGAGCAATGCTGAGGGCGCGAAGGCGAGTCAGGAGAGAGGCTAAGTCCACACGTAAAAGTCCATGATGACGAAGTGCTCTCGGTCTCCGTCCGGACTCTACGTCGTCCGGACTTCACCTCTCCCGATAGGACGCTGGCACAGTAAGCCCATGCGTAGTACTCGGTCTCCGTCTCTGGACTTAGCCTCTTCTGAAAGAGCCCAGCCTTGAGCCCAAATAGGCCACGGTCCTCCCGAAACCTCAGGGAGCGTGGGAAATGATCACCGTAACAATGATGAAACCCACGACTGTCCACCCCACCGCTAAAACCTTCCTCCTCCTCCCTCTTCTTCTTATGACAACGACGACGACGACGACGACGACGACGACGACGACGACGACGACGACAACGACGGAGACGGCGGAGACGGCGGAAGACGACGACGACGATAGATCGCGACACAACGGACACACGATATCTCGATTTTGGGCGAGCAACGACATATGTACATGTACGCCCTCCGCGGTCTTGCCTGCACGAACGTCCGCGTTGACACGCACTCCAGGGGAAGCTAACCGCGTACGTGTACATATGTTGCTGGCCTCTGAGATTTGTTCATGTCGCAGCCCCCAGAAGTCCCGACCCTTTCCCAGGGCCGGATTTTCCTCCCGAGCCTTTTTCTGACGGCGCCGAAGCCCGGCGAGGGCCCCCGGAGGCCGACGGGGCCGAAACCCTCCCCCGTCGCGACTTCTTTTGGCGACGCGAGCACGACGACGACCGCCACCATACGGCAGCGCCGACGGCGGCAGCAGGCCGCGGCCTGCGTGCGGCGCATGCCGTGCAACAGCGGGCCCCGCCCGGACTGCGCGACGCGCTCCCGCAGCGACCGCTCCTGGGCGAGGCCGGGCCCCGCGGAGCAGACGGAGGGAAGGGCTGGACGGCGAGGCAAAGCGACGGCCGACGTCGGTGGTGGAGCCTCAGGCTGCGCAGAGACAGCCACCCCCGAGGCTGGCCCAGCTGGCCTCAACAGGCCTCTCGGGCAGTCCAGGGCGATCTCACGACCCCGGCGCCGCCCCCAGCGGTTCCCGCTGGCCGCTCTGCGCCCCCCCGGGGGTGGGGTGTTGAAGCCACCCGGTACTGCTCGAGTACAGTCGGACAACATTGGACAGGACACGCGAGAGGACACAAGACCCTTCCGAGGGCCACATTGCCACAGGAATGCAGGAAGCATGGGTCGCGAGGCACAGGACACAAGGGTACCCTTGATCTGGCAGGGTCGGCCTACTAATCTGGGCCGACTGTAGCCTGTTGAGGCCAGCTGGGACCTGGGGGCGGCTGCTGGTGCGCAACCCGGAGCCTCACCACCGACGTCGGCGGAGTCCGTCACCTTAAAGCTTGAACATTTCGGGAGGCTCTCGTGCCCCCTCCTCCTCCTCCTCCTCCTCCTCCTCCTCCTCCTCCTCCTCCTCCTCCTCCTCCTCCTCCTCCTCCTCCTCCTCCTCCTCCTCCTCCTCCTCCTCCTCCTCCTCCCCTCCTCGTCCGTTCCGTACCTGCCTCCCCCGGCTGGGCGGAGGGCAATTCGGGGGCGGGGCAAGAGGGGCGGCGTCCTAAGGAGGCCGCCCCCCCTCCCCGCTTCCCGGAAGCCCCACCCCCTCTCTTCCAGTGGACCTGCCCGGAAGGGGGCCCCGTCCCTGACACAGAGGCCCCCCGCGGCCTCCTCGGAAGGCCGCCCCAGCCGCCCCCGCCCCATCCAGGCGACGCGACTGCGTTGCTCAGCATGCCGTGGCGGCGGCTCTGGCGACGCGCCGTGCCCTTCGAGTGGATGGAAGGTCGCTCCGCTCCGCAGGGCGGGCCCGGGGAAAGCGCGCCGCGCCGAAGCGTGGTGGGCCAGACCGGCGGAGCGACACGCCGAGCCCAAGCTCCTGACCGTATTTCGGTGCGCGGCCCCAGCGAGGTGCCGGCCCACTCCCCAGGTCTTGAGCAGGGACCGACCGTCCCGGCATTCCTACAGTCCTACCACGAAATACTCTTAGAACCCAAAAATGCTCTGAGAACAAAACAATGTTCTTAGAACATGAACCCGATGTGTTAAAACAAGGCAGACTCCCCAGGTCAGCGGCGCGCCCAGGGGGGGGGGGCAGGCAGAGAGGGCGCCTGCTCAAAGGCTCAGAAGGCGTCTGGCCCTCCGAGAGGCGTGCTGCGCCTTCTCCGAGGCCGCACGGGGCTCCTCGGAAGGCCGGCAGGCTTCTGGGAAGCCCCAGCCGCCGTCTGGGAAGGCCGGCCGCCCCTCGCTCCTCCCCTCGGCGCGCCGCCGACCAGGGGCAGTCCATCGTCCCAGATCCGCGCCTGCAGGCCACAGGGCTCAGCGACAGGTCCCAGGGGCCGAAATCTGGGGAAAACGCCCGCACTGGAAAAGATGGCGCGGGACACCCGTGGGGGGCCCTCTTTGGCCGACTCCAGGGCAAGGGGTGGGGGGGAGCGGAAAAGAGAGAAAGCGAGAGAGAGAGAGAGGAAAAAAGAAAAAAGCAGAAAGAGAGAGAGAGGGAGAGAGAGAGAGAGAGAGAGAGAATGCTCTTTGTCATTCCCCCCCTCCTCTGACACCTCCGAGCTGGGCCTGCCCCCCCTCGTCGGGGACGCACTGGCCCGGGCCAATGCAAAAACCGGGGCCAGCTGGGCTCTGCAGAACCCTGCAGGATCCTGCACGATCCTGCGGGATCCTGCACGATCCTGCCTGGGTCATGGCAACCCTGGCCTTGCGGAACCCTGCAAGATCCGGCGCTCTGGCTGACCCCCGTTCGCATTGCCGCAGTGACCCCCGTCCCTTGAGCCGCCCCCCGCGCTCCATCTCGGCAGGGCCGGCGGGCCACGACATCTGGAAGTCCCGGTGGCGGCGGCAGACGTCCACCTCCGCTCCCCTCGGGCTCTCGGGGCCGCAGCGGGCCGCCGCGGGCAAAGCGGCTTCGCCCTCACCCTCGGCCCGAGGGGGCAAGCTGCTCGACGGCGCTCCGGCGCGTCGAAGCCTCGCGGAGGGCGAGGATGTGGACACAGTCAACCCGCACAATCCGCTGACACTGTCGGCGCGTGTGAGGGGCTTGCCCGTTCGAGGCGTCGTCTCCGTCATTCGTGAGTCGTCGTCTCTGTCGCTCCCTTTCCCTGCGGCCCCCATTTCCCTGGGGCCCGTCGCCACTCCCCCCCTTTCCTCGGCCCTCCTCCTCAAGCGCCCCAACCACAGCGAAAGTGAGTAACGTCGTAATTCAGTCGAAGGGAAGCCCCTTCCCTTTGATCCTTCCCCCGTCGGGGCGGGGGGTCCCTGGAAGGGGTCCTGGGGGGTGGGGGCCCGGGGGGCTTCGCCACCCAGATACGACTCCCCCTGAGAGGTCCCAGGTCCCAAAAAAGCCCCAGGACGGGCCAAGAATGCCCGAAGAGGCCACCAAGACTGTCCAAGAGGGCCCCGAATCGCCGAACGATCTGTCCAAGACGCCTTGACGGCTGCCAGACAGCTCATGAGGCCTGCAAGACGCTCCAAAAGGCCTCGAGGAGCACTCCCGAGAAGGCCCCAAAAGGCAAAATTCGTCAACTGCCCTTAGGTTTTTGAAGGAATTGGCGTTCTCACCTTTTCCGCTTCCCGCCGATTCAAGGCGGCCCAAGAGGCCCCCAAGATCACCCCAAGACAGCCCAAGAGGCCTCCAAGAGTGCCCCATAACAGCCCGAGAGGACCCTTACGATAATTCAAAACGCCTCCAAGACGGCCCAAGAGGCCCCCAAGACTGCTCCAAGAGCAAGCCCTGACGGGGGACCCGAACGGAAATTTCGAGCCCGCAGCCCCGAGAGTCTCCCAAGAGGCCACAAGGGGTCCCCAAAAGGCTGCAAGAGGCCCACAAGAGGTCCCCAGGAAGCCCGAGGAGGCACCCAAGAGGCTCCCAGGAGGCCCCAAGAGGCCCCCAAGAGGCCCCAAAATTCCTCCCCAGAGGCCCCTGAGAGCCTTCTCAAGAGAACCCCAGAAGCATCCCTGAGGACTCTGGCCCGTGTCAGCGTCGTCGTCGCCGCCGCCGCCCTTGTCGACGTCGTCGTCCCCCTTCAGTTCAGGGTCTGCGGCACCGGCCGCAAGGCCTTCGCAATACAGCCGCACGATAAGGATGCAAGGGCCTTGGCACGCCACGTGGACGCTTTGCAAGCGGGGCGCGGCCACTGAAAGGGCCCGAAGGGGAAGGATGCAAGGGCAACCTTCGAAAGCTGCTCATCCTTACTGTGCGGGCTGACTGCAGAAGGCGAAGCGAAGCGAACGCTGGAGCCGTGCGCGCTCCGCCGGGGAGCCCGCCCGTGCCCGGCAGGGCACGGCGTGGAGGCCGTGGCCTCGAGAGGTGCGAGCTCTGCGCCCGCCCGTCGCTGTGCAGGGCGCGAGCTGTAGGCCTGCGGCGGGTTCGTGTCGTGCCGACTTCGGCGTTGGTGTCTGACGCCGCGGGGACCGTTCAACCTTCGAGCGATCGGCCGTTGCCGAAACGTCCACATCGTTCCACATCGAACGAGTCTGGGTCGCCCGCGGCGTTCAAAGCTGAACGCCGCTGGCGGGGTCGCCGCCAGTCGACACGACGCGAACCTACCGTACACCGATCCTTGCCAAGCCCATACTCGACCCAAGACCGGTGCATACGGCATCCTGGCTTGGGCGGGAAGGCACGTGCTCCAACCTGAGGCCCAGGACTGGCCTAGCTGGAGCAACAGACAGCTGCACAAGCATAAACTTTCGGAGCTCCGCGCGGACTTCTTGGATCGGCGCTAGAACCTCCTCCCTTGCGCGCAGAGCGCGTCAGTGCGGCGCCAGAGGCGCCGCCAGGGGGTGTTCAGCGCCGATCCAAAAAATCCGCGCGGACCTCCGAAAAATTGTGTTTACGCCGTTCCGTGGGTTGCTCCCCGAAGGAAGGTATGGCGGGCCCAAAAGCCATGAGTCAAAAAGCCTTGCCATCTCCTGGGAGGCCGACTTTGACTTCCGCCGCCTTCCGCCGCCGCCCTTCCGCCATCCTTCTGCCGAGGAAGAGATCTACCAACTACTTGGATCCTAGAAGGCGAGGCTCTCTCTGGAAGTCTACCCTCCTCGCGCGGGCAGCTCCTGATCGCAACGCTTCTTCCAAATACTCCTGCGACGGCACGAAGAACACGCCAAACAAACAATCAACAACAAAATAAAAAAATCACCAGAAGATCACATCAACAACTTAGAAATCAACCTTAGAAATCAACGCAGATACTCACTGCAAATTCTCTCAGGTCGCTCGGGCCGACGATATTTACACACACACACACACACGCACACCGATATGAAGCCCAGGACTGGCCCTGGCCAGCATCGGTGTAGGTGTACACAGCCGGTGCCCCCCGCCTGGAGAGCGGCAGCCCCCAGACGCCCAGGCGTCGCCCTGGCGGACTCCCGGGGAGGCCGTGCTCGGGCCCACGGGGCCCGCAGGGAGGACGACCTTCGGCGATGAGCCGGGTCTCAGGGATATCAGGAAGCAGCTCCTGGGAGCCAGACGACGCCAAAACGAGGACCAAGTTCGGGCGAAGATGAATCGAGAATCTCTGAGATCTGGCAGCTCTGGAGGACGTCTAGGGCGCCGCGGCCTCCTCAGAGCGTTCCAGAACGCTCTGAGAGCCTTCCGGGACGCTCTGGAACGGATGTATCCTCGTCCCTGCCCCGCCCATGGGGGGTGTTAGGAAGCAACTCCTGTGAGGGCTTCGTCAGAACGATCAGAGGCCATTAAACCCGATTCAGGGGCCACTGAGCCGATTGAACCCGATTCAGGCGAACCCTTTTCGGGGAAGAGGGAGACCCGCCAAGAGGTGGGACGATTTCTGAGGCAGGAGCCCAGCGCTTTGCTCTGTCTTCTTCCTCTTTCCTCCTCCTTTCCCTCCCCTCATGCAACGATGCCTGAACGCACATATTGCCAGCTCCAGTCCGTGCCCCGCATGGCCGCCGAACTCTGATCGAGCGGGCCCTAACGAATGTAGCCTGGGTTTAAGCCGGACTGAGACCGGATAAGGCGGGAGTAAGCCGGATTCAAAACGATAAGAACCAGATTAGGCCCGTTTTCGACCAGGGATGCGCCGATTCAAAATTCTATTTGACCCGAGTTGCACCCCAAGGGATCGGGTCGATCGGCTCGGGGAGGGGGGGGGGCGCGTCGCGAAAAAAAAAACTCAAGATGCACGCCGCGGCCGCGGCCGCCGCCGCTGCCCTCGGCACCGAGCCCCTCGGGGCACAGGGTGGTGCCACGCACCCATCCCGCGCGCCTCCACAGACGCGTCCTGCAGCACTTCAAACCAGGGGGCCTACGCCGCCCGCCCTCTCAGGTGGCCTCTGCCTCTTTCGCAGGGCGTGTCGCGTGCCCCTCTCCTTCTGCCTTCTCCGCAAAGGGTGCCCTTGACACTGCTCGAAGGTCAACAGCACCGCAGGCGAACAGACGGTCGGGAAAGCTGTGGTTCCCTGTGGATGTCCCTGCCGGATCTTGGTTGTCATGACGGGGGCGTCTGGGAGGTGGAGGATCTGACGAGAGCGGGGGCTGAAGCAAGTGAAGTTTGTGACAGCCTGGTTGAAGTCCCCAGAGCCCCCCCGACACGTTTCGTGCCAGGGCATCCTGCCCCCACAACCCAAATCAGATTGAGGCAAGTCTCGAGTGGGATAGGCGCATTGTTGCGGTACGGAGATTCATCCGTGTCCACCGCCTACAGAACCAGCATCCTGAACCCGCGAGGGCGGTGAATATGAATCTATCGGGGGAGCCCTGGGGCCCAAATACATCCATATCCATCGCTTCCCGAGGTCCCCGAGGATCGGTGTCCCAGGCGGTGGATACGCATAGATCCCAGCCTCGAAACTGCGTGCTCGATGCTCCTGCGTCTGGGGGGATCCCAACGAGGCGCCCAACGTCGAGGCGCCCAACGTCCGAAGTCTTCCCCACAAATGCGCCCAGCGTCGAGTTTATGAGCCCCTCCGCGTCGAGAGCCGTTCAAACAAACTTAGCGAGAGCTGTGCATCATCCCAGAGACTCAAGCAGAAAGTCCGAACTCGAAATCTTAATTCGGAGTCCAGAGTCGCTTGCATACTAGGGCAGAATCATCTCGAGAAGGAGGAGGTGGAGCTCTTCATCCTCCTCTCCCATGCCTCTTCAGAAGAACAATGATTCAGTGGCATGTCGTTCAAGGTGGCTGCAGGGCAACTGGCAACCAACTGCAGTCTGGCCCCCTGAACTTCGTAAAAGTTTGGAATTGTCGCTTGTTCGTGCACAGCCACGTCAATGCTGATTGCATTGTCTACAAACTGGACTACTATGGCCCCGCGAGGGATGGTGGATGGAACACGCCTCCAATTGTACACAACATCTGTGTCGGAATCGTGAGGAGAGCCGGCAAGCCATCGATCGCTCGTGAGATTTCCTCGATGGAGTCCCTGTCCACCTCCACCGCCGTGCCGTGGGCACTGAGTGGAGTCTCCCCAGGTCCCCTCGAGTTCTCTGGGCCGCAGACCCCCATCTCATGACATTCTCGGGCACTCCCAGGGACTGCCGCATGAATTTCCCCGAAGCAGTGGGTGTGTCTTTAGGGGTCCGCACTTCCCACGTTCCAGGACCTTTCCTTTGGCTCTCGTGGTTGCCTTTTTTGGTCATCGCAAAAGCAAAAGTACCAGTCCACCGCTAAACGCAGCATGTCAAGAAGCAGAATGCCAAAACTACGTTAGGCGAAAGGTCCCTCCGCTGTCGAAGCCGCCAGGTAAGCACTGCTGCGCTGGCGCGCGCGCGCTTCTCCAGACTTAGCTTCTGCGTGCATTCATCCGCGGGCGTGCTGACGGCGCCGTGGTCTGTGCACCCTGCGTTGTAGCCCGAATAGGACGTCGCCGTGAATGTAGCACTACCCAGTCTGGACGCCAGAGCCAGAGTCGCAGTAGTGCACGTTAAGAAATTGATGAGAGCCTCGTAGGTAGCCTTGCAGCCATCGAAAGTGCCAAAAACGTTATGATACCCGTTGGGCACAAATTATCTAAAACCAAAAAAATAAAAACAAAAAAGTTCACGTTCAGAATCAATTCCGTCCAGCTGCTGCCGTCCACCTCCGAGCGGACAAGTGACTGCGCGTCGTTGAACTCCATCTGCGTGGAACTCGCCGCCTGCATGCTGTGAACCACTAAAGCACATAGCACAAAGCCCGGGTCGCCATCTGGGCTGTCGTTGATGTCAAGCAACAACGGTCCACTCGCTTATGCGGGTAAGCCACAGGACCCGTAGGGCCCCAGGCCAAGGATCGAAGTGTACAGCCAACCCATATCATAAGAAAGCGCGGTAAGGATGCAAGGGCCTTGGAAGGCCATGTTGACGTTTTTCGAGCGGGGTTGGTCAGCGAAAGTTGCCAGTGATGGGCCGAAGGGGCAAGGATGCAAAGATATCGTTGAAAAGTTGCTCATCCTCGCTATGCGGGTTGACTGTAAGTGCAGGAATCTTCATCATCAGCAGCAGCAGCATCAAGATCAGCATCAGCATCATCATCAGCAGCATTATCACCTTCATCGTCATCATCATCATCATCATCATCATCATCATCATCATCAGCATCATCATCATCATCATCATCATCATCATCATCATCATCACCACCACCACAATTACCATCATCAGCATCATCATCATCGTCATCGGCATCAGCATCATCAACATCATCAACATCCTCATCATCCTCATAAGTATCATCTTCATCATCATCATCATCATCATCTTCATCATCATCATCATCATCATCATCATCAGCAGCAGCAGCAGCAGCATCACCAACAGCATCATCAGCATCATCATCCGTTTCATCATACTCATCATTATCAGTATCAGCATCAATATCGACATCATAGTCACCACCATCACCACCATCACCAGCAGCATCATCATCAGCAGCAGCAGCATCATCAGCAGCATCATCAGAATCAGAATCAGCAACATCATCATGGTCAGCAGCATCAGCATCAGCATTGGCATCAGCGTCATCATCATCAGCATCGTCATCTGCATCAGCAGCATCAGCATCATACTCATCATCATCAGTATCAGCATCAGCATCATCAACCTCGTCATCATCATCATCAGAAGCATCAACATCAGCATCATCATCATCAGCAGCACCATCATCAGCCCAAACATCACCATCATCAGCATCAGGCTATCCTCATCACCATCAACAACACCAACATCAGAAGCATCATCAGCATCAGCATCCTCAGCAGCATGATCATCATCATCAACAGCAGCATCAGTATCATCAGCAGTAGCATCACCATCATCATCAGCAGCATCATCAGCATCATCTGAATCAGCATCAGCATCAGCATCATCGTCATCAGCATCAGCATCAGCATCAGCATCAGCATCATCATCATCGGCATCGTCGTCATCATCATCAGCAGCAGCATCAAAATTACCAGTATCATCATCAACAGCAGCATAATCAGCCTCACCATCATCATCAGCATCAGCATCAGCAGCAGCATCAGCATCATAATCATCAGCAGCATCATGATTACCATCATCACCATCAGCATCATCATCAGTATCATCACCTCCGCCACCACCACCACCACCACAGTCATCATCCTCATCATCATCACCACCACCACTATCATGACAGTCGTACTAACAGTACCAAAACCAACATCATCATAATCCAAGGCATGAACATAATACGGAATTGCAATCATCATCCTTCGCCGCATCATCCTTTTCCGCCTTGCAGCCTTGGCGCTCCTATGCAGTTTCAGGCCCGTCGAGTTGGATGATCCTCCTCATCCCCTCATCATTCCCCTGCCCTGAAGCGCATTCTGACCAGGATGTCAGGTCGAGTCTAGCCGCGGCGACGACGATCCGAAAGGAGGCCCAGAAGAGGCAAAACCACAAAAACTCCTCGTCATCCAACCCAGCTCTGCAGATGTCCTAGGGATCACTTCTGAGTCCGTTCGGCTGGGATCAACGCCAACAGCGTGGTTGGCATTGAGCCCGTTCGGCTGCCGCATGGGCTCGACCCTGGCTCCGCTCGGCAGCTGAGATGGGCTGAGACGCCGAGTGGGCACACGAAGGAAATCCCCAAACCCAGAGGCCTCTCGAGGCCTCCGCGGGTCTCCAAGGGTCTACGGAGGCCCCCGGGGGCCTCCAGAGGCCTCTGGAAGCAAAACGAAACCAATCAACAGTGAAGAACAAAGGAACCAAAAACTGTCGGAACTCCGCGCAGATGTCTTGGATCGGCGCCAGACCCCTCCCTGGCGCGCGCGCGCCGCCAGGGGGGCCCAGCGCAGATCCAAGAAATCTACGCGGAACTCCTCGAACAACTACTCGGCATTCGATCCTCTGGGGGGGCGCGCGGAGGAGGAGGAGGAGGAGGAGGAGGAGGAGGAGGAGGAGGAGGAGGAGGAGGAGGAGGAGGAGGAGGAGGGGAGGAGGAGGGGAGGGGGGAGGGGGAGGAGGAGGCGGAGGAGGGGGGGGAGGAGGAGGAGGAGGAGGAGGAGGAGGGGAAGGAGGAGGAGGAGGAGGAGGAGGAGGAGGAGGAGGAGGAGGAGGAGGAGGAGGAGGGGGGGAGGGAAGGATCCCTCTGGCTGCCCCCCGAGGCGCGCCATGCGCGGCAGGATCTCGGGCAGGATCACGTCGAGCATGTCCCGCATCTCGTCCGGCAGCACGAAGAGGACGGAGTATATCCTGCAGGGCGCGGCGGATGCGCCCATGGGGACAAGTAAGAACTCATTCGAGGAGCTTTGATGAACTTGGCGATATCCCACTGTTCTTTACCATGTTTCGTTCAAGCATCTGGGGACCCCTGGAAGGCCTCCAGGGACGATTGTAGCCCACCCGAGAGTCTCGAATGAGAAAGTCGTGCGTAAACGAACCCGCCGGCCCCCGCTTGCCAAGGGTGAAAAGGCGTGTGAGACATTTGGCTGTCCCCCTCCCCCTTTCCCCCTCCCGCAGGGTCCAAAATCCAATTAGAGGGGGGTGGGATGGGGGGGCGAGCTCGTCAGCGCACTCCCAGGGCCTCTGGAACCCCCCAAAAAGCACCAAGACAGCCCAACAGGGCCCAGACAAAGCGCCAAGACAATCGAAGAGAGCGTCATGACGGCCCAGGGTAGCCCCACGACGATCCAAGATGGCTTCAAGATGGCCCACGAAGCCCCCAAGACACCCCAAAAGCGCCTCAAGAGGATCGCCGACAGGGCCCAAAGAGGCCAAATCATCACATTCCCTCGGGAAACATACATGTTCAGCACATGCGCATTTTAAGTTCCGACAACGAACACGACGGCCCAAGTGGCTCCCAAGATCGACCCAAGACGGCCTATGATACCTCCAAGAAGGCCCCAAGACGGCCCAAGAGGGCCCAGAGACAGCCCCAGGGGCCCCTCAAGACGGCCCAAGACAGCACCTGGAGGGCCCCAAGAGGGGCCCAAGAAAGCCCAAAAGGGGGACTACGAACTGACATTTCGAGCCTTTCCAACTACGATGGCCCCTCGAGCCCCCCAGAGACCCCCGAGGCCCCTCCAAGAGGCCCCAAGAGGCCCCAAGAGGCCTCCAAGACGCCCCAAGAAGCCCCCTCTGAGGCCCCCGCGAGGCTCCAAAAAGCCTCCCAAATGCCCCCAGGAGTTCTCCAAGAGACCCCAAAAAGGCATCCCACGAGACCCTCAGAGGCATCCAAAAGGCTTCTGACCCATACAACTTCCACGCTCGTCTCGTCTCAAGCACTTGCTCCTTTTGGGGGTCGGCGGAATTGCGTAAGCCACTTGAACAAGTTTAGTTGCTCGGATGCGCGTGGTCAAGAAGGCGGCGAAACGCTAACAGCCGCCGGACCGAGGAGGGAGATAGAGGAGGAGCGAAGGGCCACCGCTGAACGGCGACAGGCTGTCGAACGGCCGTGGCTAGCACCAAGGAAGGGCAAAGAGCAACAGGCATGCAAAGTTGTGACGATGGTAAGAAACGGCCGAGGCCGACCAGGGTAAGGGGGGCATAGAAAGCAACAGGACATGTGGCAGAGACCTGACAAGGCGGAAAAATACCTGGGGGACCCGGCGACACCATCCAAACCAACCCGGCCCAACCAACCCTGGGGCTGTAGCCCAACAGTGGCTCGCCGAGCCAGAAGGAGACAACGCGCGAAACAGGCAACTTGTCGAGGCGGCGCGGACGAGGAGAAAGACGGGCAGGGCAAGCCGCCCAGCACACCGCAACGGGCATGTTCCCGCCGCCGAATTGGCGAGGCGATGTTCCCGCCGGGCTTGCTCAGAACAGTGACTCGAGAGAAAGGGCAGTGAACGTGGTGACGTCACTTCGCACATCGCTGCCATATACTGACGGTATGTGGAAAGGGATGTAACGGGGTGAAGATCCAGATGGGGTTTCTTCTCACATGGCCCGCACGGTTGTGCCGCGTCACGTCAGGAGTGCGAAACTTGGACCACTGGCAACAGAGGAACACGCTGGCGTCCCCCCGGACACCTCCCTTTAAAAGCCTGGGGGGGAGAGAGCGCTGCCGTCTGATATGCTGTAGAAGCCCCCAAATACAAACAAGAAAAAATCGTTCAGCGCGTCAGGCACAACGGCCCGAAAGAGTTGGCGTTGGCAGTCCCTGGGAGGTCCAGGGACAAGCGGAGCCCAGAAAAAAATGGGCCCATACGGGACCATTCCCCGAACTTCGGCCGCACCGGAAGTCTTTTCGACCTCGAGGACGGGCGTGCGGGCGACGCAGCCCCCGTCTGCAATATAGTAAGATGAAGAACAGCAAATGTTCGGTCCCGAGCCGCGGAGTGCGCCTGCAGCAACAGGCGCTCGCAAAGATCGAAGCGACCTAGAGACGCAAGATCACCCGAACACGAATTAATGCAACAAAAACACTAACTGTTTCACCGTTTGGTCTTGCGATTTCCTCTCTAGGTGACCTCTGAAAAGGACGAAAGATTCGACGTCATGCTTAACGGACGAATGTCCAAACATTACTTCCAAGATGAGGCCATTACCAATACTCCTCGTGGTGCGGCGATCAGCGGTCATATCCCGTGTTCCGCATCAATGTACATCATGTATCGCACTTGTATCCATGAGCTCACATATCCAATTCGGGTGACCGAGCACTGTCCGCTCGGTCGGAACATTAAGACCTCTAGTTGACAATGACCCAATATCAGATCCAGGATCAACGGTGCAAGGTAAACTGATGACCAGTCCACATATCTCTCGCACATCACGAAGTGCCTGGGGTGATAGTGGGCCGGCGCGTAACTCGAGTAGGGTGATCAAAGCGGGACACGCCTTGTCTAGGTCGCGCGGCCGCCAGCACTTCTGCAGCATAGCTCGACTGTACCTCAAGCCAATAAGACTTGCAAAGTTGGCCACACACGCGCGCTACGGAGTTGCCACTAGTCGAGATTACTCGCCGGGGCAGATTCGCTACTCTCATGCCTCAACCTGCTGTCTAGTCGTCTTGTCGCCCTCTCCACCATCTAGCTTCCGGTTGCTAGGGTCGCCATGGATGCCCCATTCGCCCGACGGGGGCGCATTCGAGGAGAAGTAACCCGCGCTGGGTCACTGGCGAGCTTCCTCGCTGCAGCGCTCAAGCGACGCGACTGGATATTCGCGGGCCCCGGCTCTTGCATCCTCTGGGCGGAGGCCGCAAATACCATGAACCAGATCTGGGCGAGGAGCGCATAGGCCAGGGCCCCGCAGAGGCTGGCAAACACGCCAGAGACATAGCCTTCGCCGCCTTCGGCTGCTGCGGGCGCGCCAATAAGCTCCAGGCGCATTATGGGCCGGAATTTCGCGATGCAGTCATCTTGATCCGCAACTACGCCCCCAACCTCGCCCCCCGTGCATCTCGTGACGCATGTCGCGCAGGTGCGCTTGCTGAGTTCGCGCGCGCAAAATTCTCGCTCGACCCGTCGAGCACAGTCGCCCACGTTCTTCTCGAGTCACAACATGCCGATGTCACGCGTTCAACTGCGACGTGATCGGGACCGACGTCTAGTTCAGGGTCGAAGCCGGTTGGATTTGGACCGTTCGCGACGCGCTGCGCAGCTTGAACGAGAACGCCAGAGGCGCGCCCTTCGCAGCAGCCAGTGCTTATAGGTCAACCCCAGGAGGAAGACATTGCCAACGTCCATGGATGCGAGGATCCAGATTTGATGACACGTCGCTGGCGAGAACTCTTCGCGACTGGCAGCGGGCCGCGCCAGAGAAAGTTTCGACGTCGAGAGGGTCGACGTCCATGGACCCCCATCAAGAATAACTCGTAGACGGATGGCACGCACTTGCATACCATGCACGTCCAGCAAGGATTCCCATGCGCACGCGCATCGAGGAGTCACGACATGTGAAGATTGAGAGAGGTCATACACCGCAGAGCCTACGTTGGCAATCCAGATCTTCGATTATGCGCACAGGTTTTCCGCGAAGTCCGCCATGGCAAATAGGTCGCCCCATGCGACCGCAGCTGCTCGTTCGGCGGCAGCCGATGCGCATGCACGCACGGTTGCGACATGCGCGTTAGCTAGAGAGCACCTGAGCGGGCGCGACGATGACTTTCGCCATGTCGGTGGTAGAACGAAATTCCGCATACCTACAGTGTTCGCTGTCATCCGACTGATAGTCTTCAGCTTCAGCAGGGCCAATAGAAGAGACGGACACAAGGCAGTGCTCACGACTGCAAGGCTCGCCCCCAAGCGACTGCACAGGCAGGTCTCCCGCGGGTCACCGCGGTCATCCACGGCAGCAACGAGCACGCAGCGGCCAGGAATCCTCGTGGCGCGGATGCGATAGACGTCCTCGTCGTAGACAGTGGCTCGGCGAAAGGTCCCTGCGGAATGGATCGCACCAGCCGCATCGCACTCACGCCCCTCACTGAGCTCATACATCGTCGACAACCAACTGTTCCCGGGGCCTGCACGCATACGAGTTGTTTGGTCGCGTCGGCGGCCAGACCGGTCTTGAATAAATGGAAGGTCGGCCGGCTCTTGGAATTTAACCAGGCCCTCAAAAGTTTGAAACCATGTCTGGGGAATCGAAGCACTGGGCCAGTCGAGAGCGGGTGATACCCGTGACACGATGCACGCATGGCCCGGTACCTCCACACGTGCAATCATGAAACCCAGGTCTGGCGTCGCTGCAACACTGCACCAAGGCACAGCTGAAAGCGCACTTGACTGGGAGGGAGTGTCGCAACACTCTTGGCCAGCCTGACCGCAATAACCTACTCTACCCGAAAGGAGTTCCGCATTAGGCCTTGCAACGCCAGGTGTACGCGAGGGCCCAGCGGGCTTCCTTGAGCCCCCCTGGGATACTCTTTTCCGTCGGACAGATGCCCGAACGAAGCGCGATGGCAGGCCCCACTGCACCGAGGTTAGCATTGAAATACGACCGCGCGCACGGCCATGCTGCCCATGCCCATGCATTTATCCTGCGAGCAGAGCATCTGACATAAAAAAGAATGCGTCGGACGCGCGCACGTTTGAATATTCTCTCTTTGGAGCCAGCATTGACAACGGGCTGTCCGCGCTCAGGCACCGCTCCGAGCACGGGATAGGGTCGCTTCCAGCCACCATGGTCGCCCATCGTCGCCGTCGGTCTGCGGCAGCTCACAAGGCCCCCGCACCAGTAGAAACGCGCTCCATCAGGAGCCCACGAGCGCGCAGGGCGCGGTTCGTGCGAAAATTGCAGGCACC